TATGAGTCTGCATAGAGTTGACCAACCACCCAACCACTATGTAGTTCTCCTGCATCCATTTCTTAAGTGCAAGGTTTGTCTTTGCAGGTTTCACCTTACTACCTGTGAGATACCCTAGTTTACCTCTACTGCAAACATGATTCCGTATGAATTGCACCTAGGCTAGATAATTGATTCCATCTAATTTAATTGTGGCCACACCAGTCAAAAAGTAATCTATGGGACCAACCTCGGATATCGGCATCTGTTTCATTACATTTCCAGATTGCTCCATTGATCAAACGAAAATCAAAAAACTAGTTTTTCAATCTCTATGGACCTAATCGAGGTCAGTACAGTACCCGGAGATTAAAAAACTAGGGTTTCACTGCACCCAGCTATCGGGGAGGATGAGAGAAGAAGCAGCCGCTCTTACCAGAGCTTCCCAACCTCCTTCAAATCTCAACCGCACACTTCTAGGGATCAAAATACACCTCCCAAGCCCTAAGCACCTCACCCAATCCTTCTCCTTAACCTGTAACTTGAAATCTCTCTAGTCGGCTAGGGGTTTGGGCATAAAAAAATACAGCTTCAATTCCTGGCAATTTTCGGCTAGATTATAACTCTCTAAATCCTCTACCAACTAGGCAAATAGTCCTTTGACTGATCAGCAACTTATCTCTCCATACACTCTTCTAATTGAAGGGTGCATGGGAAAAAAAAAGAAAAAGAAAAGCGGAGGAAGAATTGCTCTGATACCAAGATGTGAGTCTGTCCTTCAAATCTGATATAAAATGATAAAAGAAATAAGGAAAAGTGGTAGAGAAAGAAAGGTTACAGCAGAATAGAAGAAGAAGATGGAGAAGAGAAAGAAGAGAGTTCAACGGATATCTCTCTCCCTTCACTAGTCTTTTATTAAACTTAATTAATCATGCTAATTACAAGTCTGCCCTTTAAGTGGGCGGCCAGCAAAGCAGTAACTTAAAATAACTTAAAAAGAGGTTAACATGCCCATTAAGAAAAGGCCCATTAACACATAAAACAGATATAGCATAACTTAAACATGAAAGAAATATTAGGGCCATTGTGCCCAGTCTCTCTACACTCTTCCATCTTCTTCTAAACTTTCTTTCGTCCATCTTCTTCCTTTTTCTGCTTTATTTTCAGATTTATACAGGTGGGATTCACAAGTTGGTAGTAGAGAAAGGTTTCTACCTTCTTCCTTTTTTTTCTCTCTTCTAGACCCATACACAATGTATAGGTGCAGTTTGATTATACTTGGAGAAGTTTCTCGAGCCTAAGGTAGAAGCGGCTAAAATATCTCTCATTCTCCTGGGTTGCCGGGTTCGGTGAAATCCTATTTTTGTCTAAAAGAAAGGCAGTTTTGGCCTAGGGCAGTGATCCAGACAAGAAACACCCTAATTTTATCTTTATTTTAGTTTGTTTCTATTTAGCCAATAAAACAAGCTAGAGGTGAGATTAGATGGAACTAATTCTTTGGTGTGATCTCAATCAATTAAGATCCATGTCTATAGTGGAGGGCAATGGGGGTACATCACTAGCAATAAGAAACAACCTATGGAGGATGACCCTACCTATGAAAGGTGGATGTAGGAAAACTATACAGTTGTAGGTTGGTTAGTGAGTTCCATGCAACTTCATATCAGTCAACATTATTTGTGCATGGATATTGCAAAGGAGGTGTGTGATGGTGTCACAAAGACCTATTCCCAGAAATTGAATGTTGCTAGGGCTCAAAAAATGTTGTCAATAATCTTAGACCGGGGGAGAAGCCTTTAGCCGTTTAATTTTATATGTTGAACGGTAGGAGATTGGTTTGATGGAAATTGTCGTGTGGGGGTGCAATAAAAATGTTGAGACTCATAAGAAGCTAAGGGTTACCAATGAGAAAAAGATGTGGTGGGTGATTATTGCAAGAAAAAACACATGACGGATACTATTGGAAGTTACATCCAGAGTTTATACCTCTTAAATTCAAGAATAATAATAATAATGGTAAGAAGAATGGAAGTGGGAAAGGTGGAAATGCCAATGTAGCCACCTTTTCTGAGGTTGGGAAAAGGTCTAGTGATGGCGAATGCCTTGCCTTGTGCCTCACCTTGGGTGCAAAATTGCCTTTGTGCTTTTTTAGCGCCTTGTGCTTTTAAACCACTAGTGATGTTTATCCTATTCTTTTGTGTGCCTTTGGTTACACATATTATGTCCATATTCCCTGCTCTTAGAGACATAAATTTGAACCCATGGCTTGAAAATGTATTTTCTAAGGCTATGTTTGGTTTGAAGGAAAAAGTAGGGAAAGGAAGGGAAAGACAGGGAAATCTATATAAGGTTTGTAAAGGTTTCCCTACCTTTCCCTGCATTTTCCTTCAAACCAAACATAACTTAAGGGTATGCCTCCACATATAAAGGTTTCTGTTGTTTTGGTCATTCTCTTTAGGGGAAGCATTCCGTTGAGTTTTTTGCTTATCCATATCCTCTACCATCTCCTGTTGACTCTAGTGTTGAATCCTCTACAACACCCTTTATTCTTCTATTGCACCCCTACTCCACCACCTATTAGTCCTGTTTTCATTATTCATCCTATTGTTTAGAAGTGGTACCAAAGGAAAAGGCTACAACATGAACAAGTTGTTCTCCCATCTACAAATGAACCTTGGGCATTCCTATTTCTTGAAGAGAGGACATGTCCTTTACCACCTTTTCTATTACCTTCCTAGACCTTGACCTACCTATTGCTACGAGGAAAGCCAAGAGAAAATGTATAGCTCACTGTGTATCAAAACACCCTTCTTATAGTCTGTTGTCACCTTAATACTATTCCTTCTTAGCCTCTATTTCCTCTCAACCTATACCCAAGTTGGTTATAGAGGCCTTATCCAAGCCAAAATGGAAGGAGGCTGCGAGAACTAAAATAGAAGCACTTTGCAAAAATACTACATGGGATATTGTAGACTTGCCTATTGGGAAGGAACAATGGAATGTAAATGGATGTTCACCATCAAGTATGAAGAAAACTGAAGAGAGGAGAGCTTGAGAGTTCGGCAATAAGGGGCTGAGAATGAGAGTTTCGAACCTTCTCTCTCTCAGCACCCTAACACTATTTTATTAAGATATATTTGAATAATTACAAGGAGGCCCTTAGTTGGGCAAGAATTTACAAAGAACTTAATATAGACAGGATGGGCCCAGAATAAGGCTCATTACAGAAAAACATAAATAACAAGAAAGAATAAACAACCTACGGGCCATTCGGCCCATCTTCTCTACAAAGTATAATGCTGATGGTACAATTGGGAGGTATAAGGCTTGAATGGTTGCCAAGGGTTGTACACAGGTGTATAGAGTTAGTTATATGAAGACCTCCCCAGTAGCTAAAATGACCTCAATGAGAGTTTTGTTGTCCTTGGCAGTGAGTTATGTTTGGTTGTTACATCAATTTGATATTAATAATGCCTTTTAAATGGGGACTTAAGAGGTTTGTATGTCTCTTCTTTCAGGCATATATGGTAAGGAAATACAAGGCAAGGTGTGCAAATTGAAGAAATCCCTTTATGGCCTCAAGCAATCCCCTTGAGCTTGGTTTGGCAGATTTTGGACTGTGTTTCTTGAGTTTGGATATGTTTAGACACAATCTAACCATACCCTATTTGTTAAGAGGAGAAGTACTCAGGTTACCTTATTGTTTATGTTGATGATATTATAGTTACAAACAGTGGTATAGAAGAAGTTCAAGTACTCAAGAGCTTCCTTAATTCAGAATTTGATATTAAGGATTAGGGGAGTTGAGATATTTCTTGGGAATTGAAGTTGTTAGGTCTACAGATGGTATCTTCATCTCCCATTGGAAGTATGTGTTAGATCTTTTCATTGTGATTGGGAAACTTGGTCCCAAACCTACCTCTACACCTGATGCCAACCATAAGCTTTCAGCCAATGGTGGTGAGCTCTTGGCGGGCAAGGGAGTTTTCCTGAGACTTTTGGGGAAGTTATTATATTTTTGTATGACACGACCAAATATTTCTTGTGTTGTCAGTGCAATTAATCAATTTATGCATGCCCCCAAAGAGACATATACGGCTGTTGCAGAACAGGTTGTCTTACTTGAAGGGAACTCCAGGAAAGGGCACTCTCTTCTCTAAGCATGGACACCTGAAGCTAGAGGTTTTTATAGATGTCGATTGGAATGGTAATATTTATTATAGAAGATCTACATCTGGTTATTGTGCTTTGGTTGTATGGAATATTGTCTCTTGGAGAAGTAAGAAGCAGATAGTGGTAGCTAGATCTTCAGCTGAGGCGGAATATAGGGCCATGACTCTTGGAGTTTTAAAGTTTTATGGATTAGATCACTTCTAGAGGAGATGGGCATTGCATATGATAAGCCTTTGTGTTGTATTATGATAACCAGGGTGCAATTAGCATTGCTTACAACCTATTTTAGCATGATAAAACAAAACACATTGAAGTAAACAGATATTTCATAAGAGAAAGAATGGCATCAGGAGAAGTTTGTCTTCCTTTCATTGCCTCAGAGCTACAGTTAGCATATGTTTTGACCAAGGGTGTCCCTAAGGCAAGGTTACAGCACTATGTAAGCAAGATGGACATGATTGATACCTATGATCAGCTTGAGGAGGAGTATAGAGATGACGAGCTGAATGGGCTATAGCTTCTTTTTTTTTATTTAAACCACTATTTATGACTTACGGTTGTTGTTATAGGCCTGTTTCACTTTTATTATTACCTTTATTGTGTCGGCCGTGCTACTAAGGGTATTCATGTAATTGTATTCACATTACAATCAAAGAATAAAAGATATTTTAGGGGCTTGAGAGAGATTTGATTGTCTTTCTTCCTCCTTCCCTTTCTTCATTTAATTGTATTCACAACTCTTTTAATTGGAAAAATCATTACATGTTCTATTGTTCGATCTGTTCCCATTTTTGGGAACGCCATTTTTCAATCTGTTCCTACCAACTAATACTGTGGTTGGTACACAGGCTTGCTATTCAGAGGCTTGAGATCACAAAAAATGACTTACGCAACAGGATTGCAAAAGAGGTAAAACAAGTAGATAACCTCTTTCAACTTGTAGGCTGTGTACAGGGTAAAACAAAAAATGACTTTCTGCTAACATAGTTGACTATCTCTTCTATCAGGCCAAAGGGAATGCAATCTTACAAGCAAGTTTGGAGAGAAGAAAGCAAGCCTTGCATGAACGGCATTTGGCACTCGAACAAGATGTATTCAATTCTTTATTGTCAAGAACTCAATTTTTTTTAATTCACTTGTTGTGTGCTTCTTTTTTTTTTTTTACTTTGTACTAGAAGATATAATAATTTGGTCAAAATATTTGAGGTAGTGCTGTCTGATAAAAGATAATATACAATTTGAAGCATGTATTCAAATGTTCACTGCTCATAGTAGTGGTCTGTCACCTAGTTGTTGGTATAGATCAACCTGGTAGGAAACTATATTCTTCTCTCACTATGCATGATAGTTGTCATATTATATGGACCTATATCTACTTTCTCGATTTGGATGTGGAGAAAGATCATATCACATTTTTTTTAAATCTCAAGTCCTTGGGATCTGATAATGTTACTCACTGAAGAAGTAAGCTAAAAGAATAAAAAGATTAATTTTTAGTCTAGTTCTTTTACAATCAGTTGTAGAGTTCACCCCTGTTTGAATGTTTCTCCAGATTTGAATATCTAACTGAGTTGTGTACAGACTAAGGCTCCAATCATCTACTTCTAATTCAAAAATATAGTGTGTGAAGATAGTTCGGTTGCTTTAACTCATTTATGGACTAATTATATTATCCATACTACTATTGTAGGTTTAAGGCTACAAGAGCAGTTGCAAGCTGAGAGAGATCTTAGAGCTGCCTTAGAGGTTGGTTTGAACTTGTCTTCTGGACAGCTTTCTAGCTCCTGTGGAATGGATTCCAAGGTCTGTTCTTGTTCTGTTACAGTATTTTGATTTTACATAAGAATGTCTTTATTGATTTACATGCTTATGGCATATGACTATTGTGAAGACTAGAGCAGAGCTGGAAGAGATTGCCCTTGCTGAGGCCGATGTGGCCAGGTTAAAGCAGAAAGTTGCAGAGCTCCATCTTCAACTTAACCAGCAGTGCCAGCATCACTATGGCTCTCTTTCAGATGCATGTGACTGTTATCAGCACATCCAAAATCTTCATCCACAGCAGTGAGTTTTAATTATTTTATTCTGATTTGTTCATAGCTTTCAGTGTTATTATAACTTGTTTGTGAACAAGAATTTTTCTTGCATAGATGGAATCTTGTAGGCACACTGTATTTAGAAACTTGGTTGTGCCTTATCTTAAGTAATGTTCTGAAAATTATAGTTGTATCGTTAAATTGTATAGAGGTTAAATAGAATCATGTCATCTGTCATAATTCATAAGATTGTCTATTTTTTATAAGCTTGTCAAATATATATATATATAGTAGAAGTTTAAAAATATGGAAAAATGAGTTTACCCCATTTTCAATCTACATCGACCTATCCACTAAGGAGATGTAGAGAGTGCAACAACCAATGTCTGAACGGATGTAGGAGAGACATTAGATATTTCAATTATGTCGGGACATAACCATGGCTCAGCACTTGGCCCTTGTTTATTTGCAATAGTCATGAAATTGACTAAACATTTTTCAGGCGGGAGTTCCCATGGTACATGTTGTTTGCTGATGATATGGTATAGATTGATGAATCCAAAGAATGATTAATTGCAAAGTTAAGTTTATGGAAAATATCTTAGAAGCAAGAGGTTTTAAAATAAGGAGTGGAATCAGGGTAAACTTGGGATTGGAGACCAATAGGTATCTCAATGCAATGTCTTCCATTACCCTGGTTTGATAATATCCATAACAAGGGAGCAGCTCCAATAAGTAGAAAGGATAAGATTAGAAATGAATTTATTCCTTAAAACCTAGGAGCAGCTCCAATAAGTAGCAGACCCCATATAGTTGGGACAGGGCTTAGATGATGATGTTCCAGCTATCTACTAAGTATGTTTAAACAKCAGGCAAGATTCCTTTTTCCCTCCATTTTCTTGATGCTTTAAAGAATTCCTGTTTAATTGTCTCGCCCATGTGAATATCAAAGGCGAACCAGCTAGTTAATCTCTCTCTCTCTCTCTCTCTTAAACTAACCCCACCTGCTACCCTGTGGGCTCCACTGTCTGTTCCACTCTCCACCCACATGTCATTAGTGCTGGGGTTTCACTACCTCAAATTCTATGGGTCCTGTGGGTCATGCCAATTTTTTGTTCTCTTCTTGATGTGAAAATGCGCACAGTTGTGCTCTCTATAGATGTATTTTACACCATGCATCTGGAAATTGTGAGTTGGACCACGTTGATCGACAGTTTTTGGATCCATCTTAATTAAGACAATCTTCCTGGTAAATGGTGTAGGATGTATGTACTTTAAGGGGTAAGATGCATTGCTTATAGTACAATTATTGTTAATGTTGTTATTGTTGTTATTGTTATTATTATTATTATTATATTTTAAGTAGAGGGACTGGGCCGAGTGGGCCCTAGTACTTGTTTATATTTTAAGTAGTGTCCTGTTTATATTTTGTGTTAATGGGCCTTTTCATTATGGGCCTGTTAACTTGTTTTATTTTCTTTTTAAGTGTTTTATGTGCTGGCCACCCACTTAAAGGGCAGAGATGTAATTAGTCTTAGTTAAGTAAGATTAAATAAAAGATTAAGTAGCCTCATTTTTATTATTACATTGAAAGAGGATCCCATGAAGAACAAGTAGCCTCATTTTGGATCATATCACTTCCATGTCCATTTTTTTTTTTTTTTTTTTTACTATAAGTATATTGTTTCTGCATTTGATCAAGAATTTATGTCTGCAGGAAGTTTCTTCAACAAGATTTTGATACGACCCTTGCCGTCTGCAACCATGAAAGGAAGCAAAGAAGTGAAGTATGTATAAAATTTCTCTAATTGCTGATATTACTGTTTCATGCCATCTAATAACTATAACACGTTTACACGATCTAGATCTCATTCATCAAATTTTGAAGCAAAAAGAACATCGAGAGGATGCACTCCTGACCCAAGTTTTGTGCAATGAATGCATTTTTTTTGGAACAAATTTGTTGTTGTGATTATTCATAAAAAAAAAATGTTGTTTTTAATACTGTTGTTGTGATTGAATTTTATTGTAAGAGCATGATGTGATACACCTTTGTGGGTGAAGGTGACCCCATTTATTTCTGGATTACCATACGAGATCTTTCTGACTCGTCCTTAAATTGTCAAAATACTTTGTTTTAGGAGAGCTCATCTGGTGGGGACTGGAGGACCATCGAAGGTCAAGTATTACCGTCTCCCAGTGGTAGCTGGCAGTTTTCACGTAAGCAGTGTATGAACCCTACAAGCCTGAGCGATTTAAGTACAGAGGCATCTACAAGTATTAATATTGATGAGCTCTGTAGAATTGATTCCTGCATCCTGCCCTCGTCACGGACAGCAGAGGTAAGATTGACATTCCATGTCCAGTGACACCATGAAATGCCATGGCTGTTAAAACTTGTGTATGAAATTCATTCTAAATCTTTTTAAAATTCCAATGGGCTACACAACGGGGAGTAGCCTGTCCCACAACCTCAAGGCCTCGAACAACCTTGAAGAGGGTGGGAATCAATCCCGGGCTTGTTGAACTTGAAACTAACAGGAGAATTTGGCAACTAAAGTTTACTCGTTATTGATCAAAAAGAAATCAGTTGCCACCACTTCTAGAAACTTGGTGCTTTATAAAATGGACTGTCATTTGGGCTGCAATTCACAGGGGATGGAATATTTGAGGCAGCCATCTGTAGCATCTTCCGCCTTGGTGGAATTGACGACACGTCTTGACTTCTTCAAGGAGCGGCACTCCCAGCTCATGGAACAACTCCACAATCTTGACTTGGGCTATGGGGCGACTTCTCCACCGGGCTTGCTGTACAAACCGTCATCCCCTTCATGGAATTAAAAGGGATGATACCTGAAATGGAAATGTGATTTGAGAGAGTGAGCTTTTGTATATTCTTGATATTTCTGCATATATCCTTTGTAATACTTTGCTGTTTTGCATCTTTCTCTTTATTTGTGGGAATGTGTTGGAGTGCTGTTCCTGGAAGGTTTTCTTAATTATTTAATTATTTTCTCATCTTTTTCTTCATTTTCTTTCTAATGATTGATGTAGGCATAAGAAATATTCTTCTCGTGTATCAATAGAAGGGAGGGGGGGAGATATTGTTAAATGTCTTCGAGAATGCTTCAAGTACCGACTGATGAGAACAGAATAAACAAGAAAAATGTCAAGGCAGTTTTATAACGTTCTCTCCCTTCTAAGAAAAGCTTTCTTCTAGTATTTTCATCTGATGTGAATGTCTATGTTCAATTGTTTCAACTGTGCTAAGGTTTCTACCGTCTAACCATTTTGATCATATGCTCATAGTTTCCAATTAAAATTTGATGGTGTTCGGCTTTCTTTGCTTTTCTTTTTCTTCAGCAATGCACAAATACAATGTTGTTTGGTAGTGGCAATGCTGACATGGTTTCGTAGAGACAAATCAGACAATGTTGATGATCTTCTGCGCACAACCCTCCCCACGTTGAGTGTGTGCCACCTGTCTAACACAAGATGCAATTCCTACATGTTCAGGACTAATGGGATGGGCTCATCCCCGTTAGTTCCTGTTGTCATTTGATGACATCTGAACCTCTTACCCAAAGGCCCCAAGTCATCTGCCTACTTGTGTTATTTCTGATATTAACGAAGCTCCTCACTTGAACTCAATCTAGCTGGCTCTCTTAATGAGTCTCCTCTAATCATCTTTATGACTTTTATTCTTCTGGCCGACATTTAGTAGGAATGATTATTTATGGAGCTCATCTAACAATACTTGGTCACTAACCAGAGGAGACAAGATGGGACTTTCCACTTAAGAAGTTAAGAAAGATGGAATGATTAGGTATAGGAGCTCATCTAACAATCTTGCTTTGGGTTTCAAGATGGATTGGCTAATATCTCAAACCAAGGCAAATTCATTTCACATACCCTCATCTAATATGTCTTTCTCCTTGTCAGCCCTTGCATCACCCATGCCCGCTCTCACAACCTTTAAAGCACCACTTCAACTAGCATCCTCATCTTCTAAATCAGCTATTCAAGGATGTTCACCTGGTTTTTTTACATTTGCTAAGAAACCATTAGTCATATCGCTCATTTTTGGAAACTTTGTCTCATGTATTTTCATTATCTAAGCCAGCACCACAAGCTCCACTACTTGCTCCAGCCTAAGCAACACAGCATGACTAGCCATCGCAAAAGAAAGAAAGAAGGGTACTCACCCAATTATCATGTTTTCATGCCCAATTGTTACATTTTCTTGTTTTGAAGGGATATCTTTAACCATTAAAATGGAAATCACCCTTAGAACCGAAGCAAAGAAAATATGATACAAGTGCATTCTGCGCTTATCACCAGGGACCTGGGCATACTACTAATCATTGCTGGCCACTGAAGTTTGCTATTCAAGTTTCAGCGATGAGGGTGTATTTGATCCCACGAAGGAAACTCCAAACATAGCACCACTAATGCCTAAAAAGTTGATTCATTAGAAAATCTCATCAATTTTGTTTTGCTGCATTAGGACCTTATTTTTTAGTTATTCATTTCTATTTTGATTTTACTTTTGGTAATTTGGAAATAAACTTAATCATTGTACAACTCATATTTTGTATTAATGGAAGTTTTTACTTAGTTGTTTCATTTTATTGTTTGGCCTTTTTACATTGAATAACACAATGAATTTTAATAAGGGGACTTTTTAGCCTAGGAAAGAGATAAAGTTGCCATTTCCCTTAGGAAGATTGTACGAGCATGACTTTCTTGGGAAATGTCTAAGGAGGGAGGGCAATCATATCGGACCAAAACAGCAATGTCCATTCCCAAGTGTGTCTATAGATGAATCCATCACTGATAGCTCAAAGTCATTGCAATAGGGTATGGACTCCTTTGTATCGTTCCTTGAGCTAGCATAGAATGAAGGTGTCATATTAACTTAGTGCATTGTTGATTAATCAGGGGAGGGACTAAAGACCCTTATTGGTCGTTTTTATTCCCCCAAACCCCTTGCCATTGTTAACACCGCTAGTTAGCCATTTGAGCTTATTCATTGGACTTTCTTCTTTGTTAAACCAATCAAATTCCAAGGATGCTTCTTTCCAAAGGCTAGAAAAGGTTTTTGAAAGAAAAAAAAAAAAGAAAGGAAAAATGGAATAGAATCACTCTCATTCACAAGTATAAAAGTTGTTAAGTGACATAAATACCCTTGAGTTACTTAAAAGCGAGTTGTGTTTGACATGTATTTCTTTTCTATGTATTATGCATTTAATGGAGAGATGATGGAAGGCCCTTTTTTGGTCGTTTGCTTTATCCGTTTTTACCAAACATCTATATTGATCATTCCACTAGTTGTCCCTTTGAGCCTTTGTAGAAACCATCCCTTCAAATAAGCCCTCCCAAGAGGTGGATGTCAAATGTTCAGTTCTACGTGTGAAACTTAATCAATTAAGAAGAAACAAAAAAAAAGAAATGAATATGAAAATTGGGGCAAATGCGCAAATTAAAAAAAAAAGAAATTAAGTTGCAAAGATAAACTGGGGCAGCCCAACTGTTGCGAAAAAAGAAGATAAGAGAAAGTAAGAGCAACTGGGGAAGATATGATAATCAAATCGATAAGATTTTGTCTAGTAGTGACATTCGTTCTCGGTTTTTTTATTTTTTTACTTTACCTATTTGCATTTCATCATACAATAAAGTCATCCTTGATCACTCAGGTGCATAACCCATAGTATTTAAAGACATGAAAAGCAATTTGTTTTATTTATGACTACAGGAGTGTTCAATTGAGGAAAAATAAGAGTATAAGAGCATAATCTTAAATAAAGCCCTATAAATTGATCCAACCATCCGATACTCATTGTAGTTTATGTTTCTTGAGCCCTTTATTATTTGTATCAAAACCCTTAACCTAGGCCACGCTTTATCCTAGTCAGAATTAGAGAGAGGGAGAGAATGGGGAGATCGGTCGCCATCGGTTTGAGTTTCGTCGCCACAAGGAAGAGGATGGTGAATAGTGTGAAACAATGGATTTTAATGGATTTCAGCAAATTCTTCAGATTAGGTGAACAAAAAACAATGGATTTAATTTATATAGGGTGCTAGGGGCATTTTTGTAATTTTTTAAAAGGTTAGTGTTTTTTTTTTGTAATTCTGGGATATTTGGGCCAAACCGGGTCTAGGGGTCAAACTAGGGTTTTTGGTTCAATGATGAGGGGTTTTGGGTTTATGATCAAAGGGTTGAGAAGGGTTTTGGGTACAAATAGAGGTTTTGCATGTACAGGCTAATATAGGATTAGCCGAAATGAAATTTTTTAGATGAATGGTAACCAGGGTATTTTGGGCTGAAATTTGGCAAGATGGGGGTTTTTGGACATTCTAGGTTGATTGGTAAGGTCATGGTGGCCCAACTGGGCTCGGATTCGATGGATCCAAAAAGGGCTTGATTCAATTAATCTTGAGCTTTTAAATGGAATCTTGTTGTGATGAAGGGGTAAACGAGGGTATTTTGGTTTAAAATTTTACAAGAGGGTATTTTAGAGTATCAGGGATTTGGTTGTAGTGTTTGATCGGTCCAGGGGTGTTAAGATCATAGGAATTTGAGTCAACGATAGGATCCGAAATGGAATCTTAGTTTGATAGAAGGGTAAACAGGAGAATTTTGAGTTAAGATTTGCAGAGTAGGTATTTTGGGAGGTCTTAAGTCTTGTGATGGTGTCTAATTTGAGGGCCAAAGTGTAGATGGGGGTTGATCGGAGCCATCGGGTTGGTATTGGGTAGATTTAGTAGTGGATTTAAGGGTTTTTAGGACAAAATTTAGGTTCTTTTGGTTTTTTTGGCATTTTGGAGGGATCGAAGGGCTTGATCGAGTGTTTGGGGTAAATTAGAGGTTTAGGTGGTAGACCGAGCAAAAATCGAGTGCTGACAACTACCCCTCTTTGTTGTGAGTTAGGAAACTACGAAACAATAAAGACCAAAAGAAGCACACAGAGATTTTTACGAAGGGTAGGATCGGAAAAGGGGCAAAAAAAAGAAGGAAGAATGATCGAGGTGAAGGAGAAAGGTTCCTATGCAGCATCATTCCATCATGTATAGGCCATTTTATTTTTGGCAAAGTGACCTCTCCTAGGTATCAAGAACCTTCAGAATCAGGGTACAATTGTCGTAAAATAAGACACTAAAAGCAACTTGTAATGTGAAAATTTACTTTTGGCAAAGTGACCCCTCCACTGAAAACAATTCAAGAACAGGATATTTAAGCTCACCGCAAAGAAAAATCACCAAAAACAAGCATATGAGTTCTTCTGAAAACATTTTAAAACTTTCGTAAAACATTTTGAAAACTTTGTCAAAGGTTTCGGGTTAATATAGCATAATTGCTCTTTTGACACAACACAATGTGAAATAACCATTACAAAGTCTTAAGCATAGAGGTTGATATGACCAACGGAATACAGACGCGGGTCAAGGCATAGAAGCTTATATGACCAACAGAATACTAACGTAGGTCAAAGCATAGAGGCTGGTATGGCCAACGGAAGATAGACATGGGTCAAGGCATAGAATCTGATATGACAAACGGAAAACCGACGTGGGTCAAGGAGTTATAGAGGCTAATATAACCAACGAAATACTAACACAGGTCAAAGCATAGAGGCTGATATGACCAACGGAATATAAACGCAGGTCAAAGCATAGAGGCTGATATGATATGACCAACAGAAGATAAATGTGGGTCAAGGCATAGAAGTTGATATGACCAATAGAAAACCAATGTGAATATCATCAATGAAATTGGGATTTAAATGCTTTAACTGACAAATCTCCAATCAAGCTATGAACCCAAGAAGTAGAACACCTAAGTGTGAGATAAACAACCGAAAGGATTTTTGGAAAATAAGGCAATGGTTTGCACGAAAGAGCTTGGAATAACCAACTTATAAGCAAGCAAAGGATATGATGACTTGGTAGAGCCAAGATAAAAGTTGAGTATGCACTGAAAATGTTAAAACATCTCCTCAAGTTGTGGTACAATGAAA